AAAAGTTTGAAGAAAATGTTAACTGAGTCATGTGTCATGTTTTTTTCGCCGTCCCATGCTGTTTTAAGCGCTATTTCGCGAGATGAATATTTGACCTCGGCGGTTAGAACTAAAGAAGGAGACAAGGCAGGCAGCAATCAGCCGCCGGCGCGTGACCCAGTCCAATTTACGCTGGAACTGACGCCAGACTATTTAATTTCTTACCTCGAAATTACCGGCTCCCGATCCACTAGATATGTATCCATGCCCCATCCGAATGAGAGCTCAATCCTTCCAAAATTTATCGAGAAAAGCGATCCTGAAGTTGCAAGACCAGCTTTCTCAACATGACCGGTGCAAAAAACTCAACCAAAGGCATTTGAGGAATGCGCGTCCATTCAAATCCACCAATCAGCGTATCGCGACCGTTGGCAGTTCAAAACCACAACCCTGCCCCGCACAGGGATGTTTGTAACTTCCGCTCCTCAAAACGGAAGTCACTTGTAACCAATCAGCTGAGCGCTGAGTTTTCCCGGGTAATACGACGCCTGTCACGGTTTGTTTTGGTTCTGTCAAAAGCACGTGCAAAGCTAAAAGCATAGATTCGATGGCGGTGAAACTTACTTGTGAGCAAGAAGATTGTGTGAAAACAGCATTGGAAGGTCATAATTTTTCTATATTTGGAGAAGCTGGGACCGGAAAATCTCGAGTTGTGTCAGAAATCTGCAGGCTTAAAGGAAAAGGGGTGCGAGTTGTCTGCTCTACGGGAATAGCGTGCGACGTTTTTAAGGACGATGGCAATCTAGCTTTCTCTGCTGTGACTGTGCATTCATTTATTGGTGTAGGAACTGCCCAAGGATCTTTTAATTCCGTTGTTGAAAAGGCTTGCAGCAACCAAAGGATCAGAAAAGAATTATTGGAAGCAAAATGCGTTGTGTGGGACGAATGCTCTATGGGCAGTGCGAGGCTTTTGGAATTGTTTCATGCGATAACATCGCAAGTCCGTGATAAGAAACTACCTTTTGGAGGGATTCAAACCATTCTTGTCGGCGACTGGTTGCAACTTAAGCCCGTCGCAGATAAATTTGATGATGGTGAGCCGATGTATAAGTCTGTTTTATTCCCAAGTCTGTTCCCACACACCATACAACTTACCATAGTTCATCGGCAGAACGAACGTGAGGTCGTTTACCGCAATATCCTGCGACAGCTCCGTGTGGGAAGGTGTGATAATGACTCAGAGCAAGCAATTTCGGGCCTTTCGAGGGATTTAAACAACGCCGATGGCGCAATTCATTTGTAATTTTACTAACTTGCATGTCGACGCGCACAATGTTTCCCGCTTGGATTTGCTTCCCGGAGAACGCGAATCGTTTACGGCTATCGACACTGGCGACCTGCGAGGACTCAACTGTCCAGCTCCGCAGATGTCTTATTTCAAAAGTGGTGCCCCTGTTATAGTTTTATATAACATTAACGAGATCATTCACAACGGAACCCGTGGAACTTTTGTGAGAAAGCTGGATGAGAATACAGCAGTTATCAACGTGGGTGGGGGTGAATATGTCATCCAGAAAATTTCCTGGACCAACGTCAATGAAGATGGACACAGCATTGGGTCCAGGTTGCAAATGCCCTTAAAGTTGCACTGGGCATCAACCATCCATAAATCGCAAGGGCTAACTCTTGAAAAAGTTGTAGTGCACTCAGCCTATGAATTCACCGGTGGACTGCTTTATACAGCTTTTTCAAGAGTTAGGTCAATCGATGACGTGCAAGTGTTAGGTTTTAATAAGAAGCATGTTTGCAAACGAAACCATGAATTGAATGAACTCAACAATCTTCCAAACAGTAACATTGCAAACTGCCCATGCTTCAAGGAAATAGATCATCATTCTTTGGGAGAACAACCCATTAACCCTCAAGACATTAGTGATGAGGAATTACTTCAAATTGTACAGGAGATGTTTGATGATCAAGAGAGTAACACCGAGGAACAATCAGAGAGACTTGTAAGTATGGAAGAGGTTTTGGAGATGGTGGAGGAAAACGAACACATACTGAGCAAACCTCCTGAAGATTTTGACATGAAAATGTTCCTTGAGTCCTTCAAAGGGCAATCTGTGCCTGGGGAAGAGTCAAACTTTGGACATGATAAGAATGCTGCCGTGGATTTAGCTGTGAGGAATATTGATCACTTTTCTGCACTAGTGCAGATTGTTTGGCATAAGATTTTCGTTTTACTGCAAAAACACCTCACAGAAAACATTCAAGATATTGTATTTTCCCAAAAGGAGTTAAAAGAGTTTTATCAACAATCTCTTGATATTTCAAGAACATTAGAATATAGAGGTTGGCTCAAAGAATGTTTTCAGACACCTGAAAGCACTTTACTAAAACCGGCGGAAATTAGCATTGGCTTCGACATTGTCCTAGGTGTATTCCACAATACACTACATATTGTTGGAGAGTCTGTCAGAGCAAAATCACGTGATGACATGGTGTCCACATTTTCTGTTAAGCAAATGGATGATGTTGGCAAAGGAAAAGTTCGTTTTGTGGCTGCGTGGGCAGTGAGCAGGGTACTACAGAAGGCAAAAAAATATGTAAGGGACAACTTGTACACTGCTAGCAGTGCCACAAGGTCCCAAGTTAACAAGTGCCTTCACAAGATTGAAGTTATTGAAAGCATTGTCGTGATTCCCTATGGAATTTTATTTTCTGAAACAAAGTACCCTGGAACACTCGAAGTGACAGAGTCACGACAATACAGAACTCATGGACTGATCCATGTCTCAGATCAATTCTTTGAATTTGCACTTGAATTAGAGCAGAAAAGAATGAATGGCCTAAATAGTAGAATGCTCAAAATGGCGACAAACTGGTTGAAGTTGTTGAAGCTGGCTTGTTGAATGACCAGGGCCTTAGGTTACAATGGAGGGACCTATTTGACAGTTTTGATATCATGGTAAGATACAATATCTTCATTAAGGTGAAAATCATTTGTAGGATTATAAAACTGTAATATAATGATGAAGAACAATATGATTATTTTTTCATTTTCTCTTTTATTTATATATTTTCCCATATTTCTTTCACTTCTCTTATCAAATCAATATTGCTCAAATTGTTCATTGCTTCTGTCTTCACTTGGTGTAGCATATTGCATACATTGCTTTGTAAAACATAAGATCAAGAACAGTGTATTTTGCAATGCAAAAGCATAAACTAGATTTGTTTTGTTTTCTCCCAAGATGAAATGACTAAAATGAATGTAATTGCAGGTCAACATTTCTACAATTATGTATACAGGTTAAAAATTTTTAACATTGGTTAATTCTCTATTTTTCTTTGTTGCCTTGCTAGCCCTTATATTTAAAATGAGATCATTAGGTCAATTTAATTTCCACGTATCCTTAAGGGGGCAAACCCTCAATGATGAATCATGATGTTTTAAGCCTACATTGCTGTATTAGTCCCTACATTTTATAAATTTATTCTTGTCTACATCAATGAGCCCTGGAATAATAGTAAATAAAATAATAGTACTGTATGCTTATTAGGCTACCATCTGTGAAGAGGCGTTTGTGGAGGTAGTGAAGCGGTATGTGAATATGGGGGCAAACCAGTTCGTGAAGGAATTTAGAAGGAAGTGGCAGGTGAAGAAGGCCATGGCCCACAGACAAATGGTCATGGCCAGGAAGGACAAAAGGGTCCAACAAGAGGCAAAAATACCTGTAAGTGAGATCATTGCTGACCAGTCAGATCATAAAGAACGTTCACATCATCGCATGAAAGAGCTCATCAGCAAATTTGGCGATGCAGTTTTAGGGAATCTCTACACACGTGCCGAGCTAATTTCACTGTGCAAAGCATATGGGCTAAATCCAAGTGCAAGATCCAACAAGGCACAACTGGGAAAGGTCCTTGCAGATGTAATAAGGTCTAACCTTAATATCCCCTTTCCTTGGAGCCTGGTTCCAGGTTCACAACTGCATGCAGCTCCTCTTCCAGGTAGACTTGGAATCAGAATAAGCCGGATTTCAGCACAGGATTAAACATTTCATAACTGTAAGTAGCAGGTTAAACACTTAAATTACCAAACTGTTGACTGACTGAAGCCTCTTGTGATTGATAATAGGCCATTTTACAGTTATGTATGGAAGCGAAGGCTGAGGGTGACCTTGTTTTGATACCAACTTCTTTTCTTTGTTATGGAAATTGTTCTTGAAAAATACTAGTTAGCATAAGAATAACTTGATTTACATAATAAAGCAGGAAGGATTGTATCAAAACAAGGTCACCCTCAGCCTCGCTTCCATCCACAACTGTAAAATGGCTTATTTTTGAGGTCACCTTGTTCCACATAAATGAGGTACCAACTAAAGTCAACATTCAAAATGGAGGCAGTAGGCAGAAAAACGGACAAGCTTTGTTTACAAAGAAAACATGTAAGCCCTTGAGTAGCTTTATTACATTTAACTTAAAATTTCCCACGATGCAATCATTGTTAATACTTTGCTCCATAAACAAAGATAATTTCAGCTCAAAATTAATGAACAAAAAGAATAACCGAGTCAAAGTGCCTGCATGGGAAAGTTTAATGTTTCCTTTTCTTTTCAATTCTTTTGACTTCTCTGACTTAAGTATACACCTAACCATTTGGGCCTATGCTATTTAGCTCATAACAGATAAAATCCCTTTTCATTCATCGCTTGTCCAGGTAATTTTATTCTTCAGTTTTGTTTGTTTTTGTTTTGTTCCATATACAGTGTAAGTTTAGTAAAAGCTAAATTTGGATAATGGGAAATAATCTCCCCTTATTAACATTTAAACTGAAAAAAAACGGTATAAGAAGGTTCTTGAAGTCATACTGCACTTAAATGTCGTGATGTAATTAACGCTTTCGCTTCCTTGAAAATGGATGTTCATTGGGAAGGCCAGAACGTGGCAGCTGAACTCCCGTCATCTTATCTGTACATACAGCATTTCCTTTGCCACTAACTACAGATTGTCCGATATTTACAGCTGTCAGAGTTGTCGAATATGTGTAGTATTTAGGGTGGTTATTCTGCCCATTTGAACCTCTTATCTGGCAAAAGATGTTCTCTAAAATATCTTGATTTATTATAATAGGCTTTAATGTGGCTTCACCAAAATAGCTCTGTTTGATTTCCACAACTTTCTCCAGCCCAATGATCATTGATCGCAAGTCGAACCATAACTGGTCTGATAGAAATTCTTTCGGTGACTCAGCGTTGTCTTTCCATTTCTGTAGGTAATTCAAAAATTCTCGTGCTTTCAACAGCCTTGCATCGTGTACATTTGAGATGACATCTTTCCTTGAGAATAGCTCAATTAGTTGGCTTGTGTGACGCAGGAATATAATGGGTTCAGTCAGTGCTGCTGATTCTGCTGTTTGTCCTGTGCTCGCCAGATGTTCCTTATATTTCTTAACGAAATGAAAATAATGTCTATAAATAAAATATTGATGTTGTTGTTCAGTGTTGCTTTTTTTTCAATTATTTGTCTATACTTCAGCAAGTAATATATGACGCTGGGATGTTAATGGTTTTTTTTATGAACTTAAAAGGCCTGTCCTTATAGAGAAGTGCTGCATGTACTGTTATCGACTGATAAAAAGATAATTAAAAAATTTAGTGTGTATTTTTTTTGTTCAATGTTATCCTTTGTTTCAATTTTATTTATTTCGTTTCAACACCTTTATTATACATCACCATACACCCCCAGAAATGGAAATATAATTTCAACCAAGGACACAAGTAAATCACAACATATGCTGTTCCACATCTCTTTTGACTACCTTCACTGCAGGCATTTTCACTTGAAGAATAGTTTTCAAATGCAAAATGTCAAATACCTCCATGAGAAACAACATTCTTTTATCTAATACATTTCAGCTAGACTATTTCGCATTCTGGATCTTGGATTTAGGTCAAAGTGTCCATCTGTTAATCTCTCATGCAGGGGAAGGGAGTGGCTGCCTTGGTCCCATTCATAGGCATCCTTCCAGAACTTGAAGAGTATTCTTGAATTGTTCACTGTCAATTGCCTTGTACTGTTTGATTGCAGGGTACTTTTTTCGAGGTGATTCCTTATTTTCTTGAAGTTATGCTATAAAGGGAAGACAGAAATTTATTTAATACTGCAGTGTTTGAGTTTAAACTTTCTATAAGTCATTAAAGGTCTCTAGTGTATGGAATATTTTCTTTATATTTTTTAGGCAGGTTGTCTTCACTTGGGTGTGATAGTCGATTTCATTGTATTTTCGTTGTTTTACCTTGGAGTCTGCCATCGTGACAATTTTCCGTCCTGTGTGCAAGTTGTCTGCAACAAAGTGATGTTCTGCTGGATCTGTTCCATATGGGTAAAGAAGCTTCACAAAGGACCTGTTTGGCTCCCCTCCATCACACAACACCCAATAAATTCTGTAATAAGAAAGTACAAAGGACAGATTGTTAGTGTTATAGGTCAGTCTAAAATGCATTTGATGTACATAATTTTCATTTCTGCTATTTTGTTTGTATTTTTCCATCGTTTAAAAGTCATAAGTGTAGTACATTATCCAACTCAAAAAGAACATATATTTCAAAAGCAATGCATGGTTACCAGTATAGATGCCAAGTGAAACTAATTCATTGCACACTTGAAGCTGTGCTAATTTATTTGCTTACTTTCAATTATTTAAACATATTCAACATTGATTTTTTATTTGCCCTTCAAGTTTTCTAAAAATTTGACAATTTTAAGAAATACAAAGTGTGAAATTTTTTCATTTCAAGCCTAGTTTGTAAACATTTATTTATTTAGCAACAGTTATTGCAGCATCTTGTGTGTTCATGTGACTCCCAGATGGAATGGTATTAGATCAAAATATCTTACTTACCTAAATCCCAGTCTGTTGCAGCGTTCAATACCTTCCCAGAATTTCTCTAGTAGTGTTACTGCAGGCAAGCTTTTGACAGGAAAATGGGCTAAGGCAAAGCGAAAACCGCTGTCGGTGACTAATGCAAACTGCATCACTTTTGAAGCCAATTCAGGATCATTGTTGCCTTTTAAAAAAGTAAAAGGTGATTAATTGTTGTTAAAATTTTCTGAGATCTTGATAGAGTTGCGTAGATATGTTTCATCATTTTATTTTTTGTGTTTCCGCATTACTCTCACATCATCTAGTCTCCTTCAGATGGAGGCTATAGACTGAATTAATTGTTGCAGTTCGTTTCAAAGTGTAATATGTAAATTAATGTTTTCAGTATTATTTGAACATTTACAATGTATAAGAATCTCTCAAACCTTCAGTTAAACTTCTGACATCTTCATAACTTTGTCCAAGAGAAACAGCACCCATCAACCTTTTCTGTCCACCAACTCTAGCAAACTCCAAATCCTCCTGTGTAAACACACATGTAATTTAATGTATTCTGCCAACCTCTATAAAAAAGATAATTTATAGACTCATGCAACATATATGTAAATATTGCCTCTTATTTTTACGATATTATTTTGTTTAAAGTCTTTTGATCATTTAAATCCAGTGATCAAAGAATGTACAGCTGTGTTTGCATTGTTTGGATAAAATCGATTTTGGTTACCTTTGAGACTTTATAGGGTTAAGGTTCAGAAGCATAATTAAAACACATGAAAGGTCTAAGAATATGTACCTGTATTGTCATTTCATCAAATATCAGTCCTCCCCATAGATCCTTGTCTTTCAAATTCAACCTGCGTGCTTCTCGGTGACACCAAGAAAAAACTTCAGGATTCCAGCCAGATGCACTTGAAACTGAATTCTTGTAATACCTTATTATTGTAAATAAGCATATTATTATTGGCCAGTGATCAGTAGTTGCACTTTCTATTTTGCATCCAAGAAATGGGTTTTGTAGCAAGAATAACATATTAGAGCCATGTTTCTACCTGATGAGCCTCTTGCTTGGAAGAATGAGATGTTGTTTCAAAGTGTTGAAGGCTTTCGGGGATGTTGAATACAAGTCGAGACACAGTCGAATAATTCTGTGGAATAGATTGTCAGTACCTTATGGTTGTAATTTAACTTGTGGCCTATTACTGGTACTTCCAAACTCATACACTAAGCTATTAAATCATTATGGCTATTTTACCACTTTCACATAGACCTTAATATTGTGCACCTGTTAACCTTGAAACATTTTTTTACAGTCATCCCAAGAGGAACTGAACACGGTGGTGATGTAAACTTTTGGGGGTAAACAAGGTGCATTATGATATATGGGATAATGGTGAATGATTTACTTCACTTTACGAAATTGCCCCCAGAACATATAAATCAAAAGTACAGGTACGATGATATCATGCTATATAAAATTATACTATAAATTTGGTCGAGAAAGCTACAAACCTGCAGGATTCTGGGAGTTGACGTAAAAAGGCATTGTGCAATATGTATTATTTTCCTTACTGAAGATGTTCAATCAAACGAATGGGTTTCTATTATAATATGCGCCCCCTTTATAATATCCTACACAGTAACTCACTTTGGGTGCCATCTGTATCCCTTTGAGGATTTTCTCGTAAGAGCCATTTGCTGTTGCTCCAGCAGAAGAGCCATGTCTCCTTTTATTTTGGAGGTGTCCACAGAACTCAGCATGGATTTAAAATCGAGGTGGTCTTCATCCGTGGCACACAAGCACTCAGATTCAAATTTCGTTCGCCAGTATTCCTCTCGCCGTTGAGCATTTCTCTTTTCTTTCAAAATAAAATTCACTTTAGCTAGCTTTTCTTCGTCACCCATAAGAGAGTTTTTGGTCTTCATGATATTGGAGTATGTCTCTTTTCTTTTGGACAAAAGCCTTTTTAGATATCCACACTCCACACAGGTCTCCCCCAGGGACGGCACCACTTGATGGCATTTGCGTGACAAATAGGCTGTTCGCGTGCCAATTTTGACCTGGGTGCACATTTCATCGCTATCTTTTCTAACAACAGAATCATTGTGGTCGTTTGCGGGGAGTCCACAGCATACCGAAAAACGTGCAAGGTACTCAAGGATAAAGGGGAGGTTTTTGGTTTCGTTCGCCTTAAAGCCAAAAGTTTCATGGGTGAGGGTGTTACCCAGAAATGATTTGAGCGAAAACTCTGATGTTAGCGGATTTATCTTGAGTTGTATCACAACTTCATTGCCGTCGATGTAAACACCGGCCAATCTGCTGAAACTTAGCAAGGGAGGATTGACGTTTTTTTCTCGCAAAACCCATCCATTCATCACACATGAAATCTCCATACTTTTCCAGGTATCATTAGTAGTTTCATCGGGCCTTTTCTTGGCGATGTTTAAAAACACGGCCACTCGTTTGCCATCTCGTCGTGGATAGAACGTCTTAACTTCACCAAACAGATCAGCTACTAACGCTCGGACATCTCTGTCATCCAACTCGAAGTTTAAATTCTCTTTTTCGTTAGCGAAAGTAGCCATAACTTCGGTCATGGACAAATTTTCGCCCACACGGAACTCGAACGTTTGCGAAAACCTGTCGTGAACAGTAACAAATTTCGTTATAATATATATTTTCCCAACCCTGGCACAAAATTAAAGTTTCCTATACGAAGCACTTAAGCTTCATTAAAAATTGAGAGTACGAGTATACGAGATGAATGTCTCTACTGCTGATTAAGACTTACCAACATCTTTTCTCCTGGAAAGCTGACCGTTTCCTTTTCATTTTCTGAAGTTGAGTGATTTTGAATCAAGAATAACACTGATCAAAAACGGTTTACAGAATCAAAACAAACCGTGACAGGCGTCGTATTACCCGGGAAAACTCAGCGCTCAGCTGATTGGTTACAAGTGACTTCCGTTTTGAGGAGCGGAAGTTACAAACATCCCTGTGCGGGGCAGGGTTGTGGTTTTGAACTGCCAACGGTCGCGATACGCTGATTGGTGGATTTGAATGGACGCGTATTCCTCAAATGCCTTTGGTTGAGTTTTTTGCACCGGTCATGTTGAGAAAGCTGGTCTTGCAACTTCAGGATCGCTTTTCTCGATAAATTTTGGAAGGATTGAGCTCTCATTCGGATGGGGCATGGATACATATCTAGTGGATCGGGAGCCGGTAATTTCGAGGTAAGAAATTAAATAGTCTGGCGTCAGTTCCAGCGTAAATTGGACTGGGTCACGCGCCGGCGGCTGATTGCTGCCTGCCTTGTCTCCTTCTTTAGTTCTAACCGCCGAGGTCAAATATTCATCTCGCGAAATAGCGCTTAAAACAGCATGGGACGGCGAAAAAAACATGACACATGACTCAGTTAACATTTTCTTCAAACTTTTCTTGAAATTTTTTTTTTTAATTATGCATTTTGGAACAAATTATAGCCACCGTATTGTTCATATGTATTTCTTCTATAAATAACAAAAGATCGTTGCTCAGATTTCAATCAACAACGGCCCCCACTAACAGAGGGTGGTCTGCCTGTGCCATAACATTACGAGCCTTGATGTAAATACGTTTTCAAAATAAAAGAAGTTTACTTTTTAACTTACCGTACAGGTGCCAATCTTCCCTGTAATTTCGCGGACGGTGTAAAGAACAAAACAAAGGTGCGAAGGTGAGGTACCAGTCACTGTTCACGTGCACATGTACGTACATTTAGCCCATAAAACAGAACAGAGGTTGGATGCTAAAAAAAAAAAAAAAAAACCTAAAGGATACCAATGTGGGCACTGCCCAGTATTTATTCAGCTGATTAATTGTTTGACCTCTAAAGGTCTAAAAAGACGTCCAAATGAGAGTTGTGGCGATTTGCACAATTTGCGTTACAGATGTCAACATTGAATGCCACATACATGCATACATGTATGAAGATATACATTCATATTCATTGGCTCGTCCCCACAAGGCTTTTCAGAGTCAATGTTACAGAAGTAATATTAAACACAGAAAGCTAAAACACGAAAAATAACTAAGTAACTAAAGGAGGTGTCCAGAAAAAGTGGTCTAAGTTGACGCTTAGGATGCTATCAACTTCAAAATTTCTCGTGCATTATTTCCCCTAAGCGATACTTGAATGGGAAAAAAACATCCCGAGTCCAAAATCTGCAATTTACAGCCCAAAGCGAGACAATGAGCATCCTGTCACTAAAATGGGAGTTGTCCCCGGGGGCTGAATACTTTTTAAAGAATTACCAATTTTTTTCCACGCAGATGAGCCAACCAGAATTTGTATTCAATGAGAGGACCATGGGTATCATGGGACAAGATGCAAAGGGGAATAGGAAGTACTTTGAAAAAGCGAGTTTTTCCCTAACACTATTAAAGCATGTTGACGCAGGAGGCCAGGACAGTGGTTTTCTCTGTCTTGTGAAATGTTCCATCACTAGGGAAGATAGGTATCACATTATTTAGTGTTATATTATGTTAGTATATCCATATTTGCAGAAGTATCAGTACATGTTGAAATCTTCTGCAATGCTTCTTCAAATTACATTATATTTTACTTAAGCCTCTTGCAAATGGGAGGAGGCTTATTTGATTCAAGTCATCCAAGTGGAGAAGTAGTGGACTTGGATAAGTGTTAATTCAGATATACATCAATATCATTATGCTAGATCATAGAAATGACACTTTCTTGTTCAAAAGAGGTTCGTTTATTCACTTTTTTAAAACTGGAGCCAATCTGCAAATATATAATGCAGTCATTTACTGAAATTTACTGTGAACATGCCATGCCATGCCAATACACCCATATATTGAAACTTTTTTGAGGCAATAATCACTCATAGTGGTCATTTCTTTTCTTTTTTTTTAGAAAATGCTTCTTCAGAACAAATAAAGTTCTAAATGGTG